AAACTAAATTGTAATATATAAGCAATATCCCTTTATGCTCTATGAATTGTGATATTGTGAGATTCGACCTAAAAACCGACGGAGAGAAAGGGATTGCGAATGGATATAATTCACCTTATTTTATCGCAAACACAATCGCATGTAATGCCGGTTTATTATAGCCCTCTCAAAGGGAAGGATTATGTGTTCAAAATAGCAAGTTATCTTTAAAAGTAACTGTTTATTATCCACGACGTTTGTGTACAACCCTGCATCACTGTCACCATAGCRACTGCCCCTTGATGCGATAATAAATCAACTTTATGGCTTTAAAGTGATTTTGYTGTGATTACGTAAACACAACTGAGACATTCATTGATCATAATCGATGTAAACAACACTTTTGGATATTGTGTCTGCATTTCAGCGTATTAAAAACAGTAAAGGACGAATAATAATCACCGAGAATTATGGAACGGCAGACTTGGAGTAAACAAAATATATGAAACAGATTACAAAGTTTTTAAGAATACTAATACAATTTCGTAGATTCCCGCAACGTCGTACGTTTTACATTTAGGAGATTACGTATAAATATCCAGCTCTCAGAGAACAACTGGACTGATGAAGTTACGCAAAGTCGTACGTATTACAATAAGGTTAATGCGTATAATATCCGGTCCTCAGAGAACAACTCCATGAAGTTATGCAAAGTCATACGTATTACAATCGGACCATTACGTATAAATATCCGGTCCTCAGAGAACAACTCCATGAAGTTACGCAAAGTCATACGTATTACAATCGGACCATTACGTATAAATATCCGGTCCTCAGAGAACAACTCCATGAAGTTACGCAAAGTCATACGTATTACAATCGGACCATTACGTATAAATATCCGGTCCTCAGAGAACAACTCCATGAAGTTACGCAAAGTCATACGTATTACAATCGGACCATTACGTATAAATATCCGGTCCTCAGAGAACAACTCCATGAAGTTACGCAAAGTCATACGTATTACAATCGGACCATTACGTATAAATATCCGGTCCTCAGAGAACAACTCCATGAAGTTACGCAAAGTCATACGTATTACAATCGGACCATTACGTATAAATATCCGGTCCTCAGAGAACAACTCCATGAAGTTACGCAAAGTCATACGTATTACAATCGGACCATTACGTATAAATATCCGGTCCTCAGAGAACAACTCCATGAAGTTACGCAAAGTCATACGTATTACAATCGGACCATTACGTATAAATATCCGGTCCTCAGAGAACAACTCCATGAAGTTACGCAAAGTCATACGTATTACAATCGGACCATTACGTATAAATATCCGGTCCTCAGAGAACAACTCCATGAAGTTACGCAAAGTCATACGTATTACAATCGGACCATTACGTATAAATATCCGGTCCTCAGAGAACAACTCCATGAAGTTACGCAAAGTCATACGTATTACAATCGGACCATTACGTATAAATATCCGGTCCTCAGAGAACAACTCCATGAAGTTACGCAAAGTCATACGTATTACAATCGGACCATTACGTATAAATATCCGGTCCTCAGAGAACAACTCCATGAAGTTACGCAAAGTCATACGTATTACAATCGGACCATTACGTATAAATATCCGGTCCTCAGAGAACAACTCCATGAAGTTACGCAAAGTCATACGTATTACAATCGGACCATTACGTATAAATATCCGGTCCTCAGAGAACAACTCCATGAAGTTACGCAAAGTCATACGTATTACAATCGGACCATTACGTATAAATATCCGGTCCTCAGAGAACAACTCCATGAAGTTACGCAAAGTCATACGTATTACAATCGGACCATTACGTATAAATATCCGGTCCTCAGAGAACAACTCCATGAAGTTACGCAAAGTCATACGTATTACAATCGGACCATTACGTATAAATATCCGGTCCTCAGAGAACAACTCCATGAAGTTACGCAAAGTCATACGTATTACAATCGGACCATTACGTATAAATATCCGGTCCTCAGAG